AAATAATAAGAAATAGTCTGATCGGTAAAGAGTGAATTGCAGATATTAATCCCATAGAACATAGAGTAGGCGGCCCATTGCGGACGACTTAATTGTTCTAACGTGGGGAATCCCCCGAATAACTCTTTCTCCCCACATATAATGAAGAATTCTTAAGGGCGTACTGTGAACTATCAAATTTAAAAATTAATCAACCAACGAAAACAGAGATTCTGAAATTAATAAATATCAAAGAACGAAAAAGAAAAAAATTAACAAAAAGAATTCCCCTTTATATGGAGAGAAAAAGAGATAAAAATAACCTATGAATAAAACTAACACACTAGCCTCATCTCAGCAATTAGTAATAGAATTAAACTAATATCTCATTGATAAATGAGATCAGGGGAAGATTTAAAAAGACTAGAAAGGAGGAAATCCATCCTGGATGAGGACGTAGTAAACTTAGTCAAAATGGTAATTATGCCTAAAATACTGTATAGATTTCAAATGGTACCAATTAAAAATTCCAGAAGCCTTCTTTAAGATAATGAAAAAAATGTTACAAGATACATATGGGAAGAATAAAAAACCTAGAATAGCAAATATGAAACATTGAGTAGACTAAAGAGCAAAGGGGGATTGGGTCCTACCAGAATGTCAAGAGATACTATAAAGCAGTGGTTTTGGCAAGAATATATGACTGGACATTTAACCAAAGGGAAAAGTTAGGGTAACAATTGAAAATTGATCTTAGTGGCATTAGAATTGAGTCAGATGATATGGGTCCCACCACAGTCAGGGGAAACTAAAGAAACCCATAAGTATATTACACTTTAAATGTTTTTAGGGTATGGGGACAATTTTACATAAAAATATGAAATGGGAATTTAATTCAATATTAATGCCTCTCACGAATCTGAGTACTTTCCTCCGGAAAGAACAAGATATCGCGGGAGATGGTTTAGAAAGGAGGATACCCAACTGAGAAAGATTGTATTGGTGGAGGGAGAATTGAGACCTCACTTAAGAGTTTAATAGAGAAGAAGGGAGACATTTTTATTAGAATGGATGAGTGGAAATACCATCAATTGAAAATGTTTTTATTGGAAAACTACCGAAACCTTTGAGAATAAAACAGGAGTGGAATAGTTTGAAAGGTTGTTGAGAGACACGAAGGGATGGGAAACACTGGTAATTTCAAAAGTGTATAGAATACTCACAGAATAGACACAAACACAAAAAGTTTAAACTTTAATGACAAAATCGGGAAAGAGATATGGGAGTTGGGTTTGATGAAGATAGACAGAGAAAGATGTTTAGATGATACACGATAATGTTAGTATGAGAGGAGGTGGAGGTTTAATTATAAGTGCGTGACACGATGGCACATCACACCGAGTGTAGAACACAAGATGAATGGGGAAAGTTCAAATATGTGTTGGAGAGAGGATGTGGAGATATAGGCACGGTGTTTCACATATGGTGGGCAATGTCCGAAAAAACCAAGCTTTTATGGAAGACAATAGTCAAAGTTGATTAAAGAAATAACGGAAATTGTCACATAGGATTAAGACCCAACGACGTGTCTTCTACACAATGTGGAGACATCTGTAAATAAATAGAAAGATTCAGGTATTTGGTACTTCTTGAATGCGGCAGAAAGGGTTGATACCCAAGTTTTGGCGGAGAGTCGAGGTACCGAAGGAGGAGGACAGGGATTAACAGAGTAAACCAGATAGGTAGAATGGAAAGATCATATCATATGCAGGAAGATAGAATGAGAGTTTATCTCAGGAGATGGGAAAAGTGGGAAAGAGCAGGGATGAAAGAGAAATATAGGAAAAACATGAACTAGGATGTTTAACAAAAAAATTAAAAAGCCTCAAGAGAATAGAATGGGTTTAGAGTCTGCAGAGGGGGAGGAGGGGTGGGAAGAAGGGGTAGTGGGATGGGAAAGAAAAGAGTTTTTAGTAAGGGAAAGGCAGAAATGTTATAAATTCTATCTGTATGAGAATTACTTCCCTTTTTTGAGTTTTTGTATTAATATGAAAAATTTAATAAATATTTAAATTAAAAAAAAAAAAAAAAAAAAAAGGAAAGAGAAGCTGCCTTATATTGCAGGGGGAAGAAGCATTTGGTGATCAGTGAATACAAGGGGAGGGAGAACTCTGATGAAAGGGTCACTGTGATGTGGGAACCTGATGTATGGAGGACTGCGATGGGGGACACCTGATGTACAGGGGACACTGAGATGTGGCACTTGATGTATAGGAAGGACACTGTGATGGGACACCTGATGTATGGGGACACTGTGATGGGGACACCTGATGTACTGGGGATACTGTGATGATGGCACCTGATGTATAGGATCACTGTGATGGGGAACACCTGAATGTTTTGGGACACTGAGATGGGGACACCTGATGTAATGGGGACACTGTGATGGGGACACTGTGATGGAGGAACCTGATGCAAGCTGGAAGGGGCATCAGTGCATTACTTTCCCCCACGGGACCACGATGCTATTTAAGATGGGCACTGACCTATCCTTTCATTTTTCTCAATCACTTTTGCCAATAAGTGGTCCAAAAGTTTATAATGTTTTCTCTTAACACAAAGAGATTAAACGCCCCCCATCAGTTATCTACCCTTAACATTATTGTGTCATAGACTGCATGTGTACCTATCATCCCTGATAAGCATTTCAAAGAAAAGAAAAAGAAACATGATGAGACTTTACTGTATAGTAGCGACAGACTCGTATTCATAAATTTACATATTTATTTTAAATATACAACTTGCAATGACATTGTATAAAAGCAAATACATGGCACAATGATGGTGCTTTTATACAATGTTATTGCAAGTTGTATTTAAAAGTAAATATGTACATTTATTAATACGAGTCCTGTCCGCTACTGTACCAGTAAAGTCTCATCATGTTTTCTTTTTCTTTTCTTTGAACTACCCTTTATCCTCTCTATCCCATTCTATTCGGATCGCAATACCAGATTACTATCTCCTCTACCTAACACACAAGACAACTAAATCAAGAAGGTGTATCTCCACCACCCTGGACAATATCGTGGTGTGTAGAGGGAGATAGGCATTTTGGAGGTTATGCATTTTTTTCCTCTTGCTCCATATCCCCCTCCTTACTGTCCCTTTCTCTTTCCCCCCTTTTTCCCTTCTTGTATTCTTGTATGCTCAAAATTGACAGTCTATGAAACAATCATCTCTGTACTGGAATCAAGTACATTGGAGCTCTCATCCCTGTATGTAATACTTGTTTCTGCGTCTTATCAAATGCTTAAAAATTTTTTTGAACCTTACTTAACCAATCTTCAGGTGAGATTTTTTGTATTGTTTACGATAGTTTTCCTCTATTTATTTGTACAATATATATCTTAATTGAGCTTTCTGCACTGTTCTTTTTATGTCTATGAACAGTATATTTTTTGTGTTGTTTTATTGTAAAAACTATTTTTTTTGTAATTAAAATACCCTGACATCTCTTTCTTCCTTCTTTCTGGATCTGCTCACCCCCTTTGTGTTTACTACTCCTGACTATGATATCTTTCTTCCCTCTAACCTACTTTACCTCCTCTCCCTCATTAATTTAATTTCTTTCCCCCCTCTTTTTTTTCCTTGCCTTGGTCTTCCCATTCCTGTTTGGCAGATGTATTGTGCTCTCTTCCACCAATATCTCTCTCTTGTATTTCCTGCTGCCATCCATATCTTTACTACCCATTTATTACCAACCTTGGAATACAACACAAGGAAACTCCCTGGGACTTTAGAAGCAGAACCACATATGAAATTCTTCTAAAAGGCAAAATGCCAATTTCTATTGTAGAGATCAGGCATAAAAGTAGAGGACCTCATTGTCCTATGAGTAAAATAACATCATGGATTTTCACGCAGGTGGTATATTTATGTAACACACAACAACCTTTGGCTTGTTTCCTGACTACGCCTATGTTTGAATCCCTAACTGTTATATCCGCTATTGGACCCAGCTCTTGCTCACCTCCTGGTGGGGTGATCCTGAGGACCACACACTTGTACTAACAATGGAGCAAAACCCATCTCCTCCATCAGGAGCTTTGGTGAACACTGGTTAGTACTTACAGACTCCGCACCTCAGGTGAGCCCATGTCATTTACCTGCTGGTGACCTGCTTGTATACCAATCCTGCTGGCCAAGGGAGTCCCGTACTGCTGTAAGCTTACTGGTCTTCGATCCTGATCCCCTGACATTGACACACCAATTCCTTTCAGCATCGCTCTGTTTACATCCTGGTATGCATATATGTGGCCGTTTTTGGCATTAAAACCCACTTGCTGAGAGGCAGCATTTATGTGTACAGCCAGCAGGAAGTGTTTAATATTAAAAAAATAGTAAAATGAAGAAGGGGAAGGTGTTAATTAGGATTCTTAAGAAATAAATATGTTTTTTTTGTGTGTTTTTTTGTTTTGTTTTACTTTCCAAGGTTGTTTTGCCATCACATGTAGATCAAAAGTCAGCCCCCCTGGGGCAGCATGGTGGCTAATGGATATCAGAAGCAAAATAATAGCTATTGGATGAAGGAGTTAATTAAGATTGTTAAGAGATAACTGTGCTCCCCCCCCCCCCCGGGGCAGCACAGTGGATAAATGGTTAGCATTTCCATCTGAAAGTACTAGGTTTAGTGGCGCAGCAGCTGGTGTGTTCACTGGAGCCCGAACACCAAAGATCTGGTGTAAATGTGGGCCGTCAGTCAAGAAAGCCATAACCACTGTGGAACGCACAGAAGAGCGTGCATTCCACAGTGGTTACGGCGTTCTCAACTGAAAGAGAGGTGTTTTTTTGTCCACCCATGTATCATAATGTATGATGTGATTAGAGATGAGCGAAGAATTGAAAAATTCGATTCGACTGATTCGGCGGAATTCGTGGACAATATTCGATTCGAGTCGAATATATTTGCTTGTGAATTTTAACTTAAAAAAAGGGTGTTTCTAGGCTTCAGAGAGACTTAATATTAGTGCAGAACACTGTACCTTTAATTAAAAATGCCCTTGGAGTCTGCTGGGGAAGAGAAATAATACTGTCAGTCAGTATGACATGCAGATGAGTGCCGTCGATCTTAGAATCACCGCACACTTCACTCATTTGGCCAGTCACGGGGCCAAAACCAGTGTTTGGAGCCACAGTTGTGGCGGTGGAGGCAGCAGCAATGGGAGGCCATACAGCAACCTATGACAAAATGGAAACCAGCAGGAGTGTGAGGAGACCTGAAAAGTGGCACATGGCAGAGGTGGGAGCAATGTAGGAGGCGGTACAGGGACCCAGGTCACACTGTGGGCTCAGCAGCAGCGTGACCAGGCGGTACGGGGGCCCATGGCCGATTTGGGGCCTGGCGGCACCTATGGAAGGCCTGTAATCTGCCAGCAACCTATGTCAAAAATGGAAAAGCACAGGAGTGTGAGGAGACTCAAAGTGGCACATGGGCAGAGTGGAAGCAATGGGAGGCCGTACAGGGACCACAAGGTCACACTGTGGGCCCAGCAGCAGCGTGACCAGCGGTACGGGGGCCCATGGCCGATTTGGGGTCTGGCGGCACCTATGGGAGGCCTGTAATCTGCCAGCAACCTATGTCAAAATGGAAAAGCACAGGAGTGTGAGGAGACCTCAAAGTGACACATGGCAGAGTGGTAAGCAATGGGAGGCCGTACAGGGACCCAGGTTCGCTCACTGTGGGCCCAGCAGCAGCGTGACCAGGCGGTACGGGGGCCCATGGCCGATTTGGGGCCCTGGCGGCACCTATGGGTAGGCCTTGTAATCTGCCAGCTCACCTATGTCAAAATGGAAAAAGCACAGGAGTGTGAGGAGACCTCAAAGTGACACATGGCAGAGTGGAAGCAATGGGAGGCCGTACAGGGACCCAGGTCACACTGTGGGCCCAGCAGCAGCCAGCGTGACCAGGCGGTACGGGGGGGGGCCCATGGCCGATTTGGGGCCTGGCGGCACCTATGGGAGGCCTGTAATCTGCCAGCAACCTATGTCAAAATGGAAAAGCACAGGACGTGTGAGGAGACCTCAAAGTGGGCACATGGCAGAGTGGAAGCAATGGGAGAGCCGTACAGGGACCCAGGTCACACTGTGGGCCCAGCAGCAGCGTGACCAGGCGGTACGGGGGCCCATGGCCGATTTGGGGCCTGGCCGGGCACCTATGGAAGGCCTTGTAATCTGCCAGCAACCTATGACAAAATGGAAAAGCACAGGAGTGTGAGGAGACCTCAAAGTGGCACATGGCAGAGTGGAAGCAATGGGAGGCTGTACAGGGACCCAGGTCACACTGTGGGCTCATGCAGCAGCGTGACCAGGCGGTACGGGGGCCCATGGCCGATTTTGGGGCCTGGCGGCACCTATGGAGGCCCGTAATCTGCCAGCACCCTATGACAAAATGGGAACCCTGGGCTGGGCAGGCAGAACCGCCGTATTCTTTATCACGGTTTTTCCCAGGCCTACCGCAATGGCGACGCTGCATATGCTGACGCAACGCTGTAGTTCCCAACATGGGGCCCCCTGGCCACGCTTGACTTTTCTGGCCACATAGTCGACATACGGCTATGTTTACTTCCTCGGGCGGCTTGACGAAAAATTGCCACAACCGCCGAGTTAGGAAACTTTGCCCCCGCTACTCCTCACTGGCTGACTGCTACTTCCTCCGTGCACACCGGCACCACTACTGGCCGTGGTGGTAGGCTGCAGTGGAGCTGGTGCTCTACTCCGTGGCCCGTTTGCCTCCACAGACCCACTGCTGCGACCCTGCTGCCTCCTGGCAGCAGCAATGGGAGGCCGTACAGGGACCCATGAGAGGACTCTGGACTTGGCAGCAGCATGAGGAGGCGGTATATAGGGGCCCATGGCCGATTAGGGGCCTGGCAGCAGCTATGGGAGGCCCGTAATCTGCCAGACACCCTATGTCAAAAAATTCAAAACACAACAGCAGTGTGTGAGGGAGACCTGAAAGTGGCACATGGCAGAGTGGAAGCAATGGGAGGCCGTACAGGGACCTAGGTCACACTGTGGGACCAGCAGCAGCGTGACCAGGCGGGTACGGGGGGCCCATGGGCCGATTTGGGGCCTGGCGGCACCTATGGGAGGCCTGTAATCTGCCAGCAACCTATGTCAAAATGGAAAAAAGCACAGGAGTGTTGAGGAGACCTCAAAGTGACACATGGCAGAGTGGAAGCAATGGAAGGGCCGTACAGGGACCCAGGTCACACTGTGGCCCAGCAGCAGCGTGACCAGGCGGTACGGGGGCCCATGGCCGATTTGGGGCCTGGCGGCGCACCTATGGGAGGCCTGTAATATCTGCCAGCAACCTATGTCAAAATGGAAAAGCACAGGAGTGTGAGGAGACCTCAAAGTGACACATGGCAGAGTGGAAGCAATGGGAGGCCATACAGGGACCCAGGTCAACACTGTGGGCCCAGCAGCAGCGTGACCAGGCGGTACGGGGGCCCATGGCCGATTTGGGGCCTGGCGGCACCTATGGAAGGCCTGTTAATCTGCCAGCAACCTATGTCAAAATGGAAAAGCACAGAGTGTGAGGAGACCTCAAAGTGCACAACATGGCAGAGTGGAAGCAATGGGAGGCCGGTACAGGGACCCAGGTCACACTGTGGGCCCAGCAGCAGCGTGACCAGGCGGTACGGGGGCCCCATGGCCGATTTGGGGGCTGGCGGCACCTATGGAAGGCCTGTAATCTGCCAGCAACCTATGTCAAAAATGGAAAAAGCACCAGGAGTGTGAGGAGAACCTCAAAGTGGCACATGGCAGAGTGGAAGCAAATGGGAGGACCCGAACAGGGACCCAGGTCACACTGTGGGCCCAGCAGTAGCGTGACCAGGGCGGTACGGGGGCCCATGGCGATTTGGGGCCTGGCGGCACCTATGGAAGGCCTGTAATCTGCCAGCAAACCTATGTCAAAATGGAAAAAGCACAGGAGTGTGAGGGAGACCTCAAAGTGACACATGGCAGAGTGGAAGCAATATGGGAGGCCGTACAGGGACCCAGGTCACACACTGGGCCCAGCAGCAGCGTGACCAGGCGGTAATACGGGGGCCATGGCCGATTTGGGGCCTGGCTGCACCTATGGGAGGCCTGGTAAATCTGCCAGCAACCTAAGGTGTCAAAATGGAACAAGCACAGGAGTGTGAGGAGACCTCAAAGTGACACATGCAGAGTGGAAGCAATGGGAGGCCGTACAGGGACCCAAGGTCACACTGTTGTGGGCCCAGCAGCAGCGTGACCAGGCGGTACGGGGGCCCATGGGCCGATTGGGGCCTGGCAGCGGCACCTATGGAAGGCCTGTAATCTGCCAGCAACCTATGTCAAAATGGAAAAGACACAGAGTATGTGTATGCGGAAGACCTCAAAGTGACACATGGCAGAGTGGAAGCAATGGGAGGCCGTACAGGGACCCAGGTCACACTGTGGGACGAGCAGCCAGCGTGAGACCAGGCGACCTACGGGAGCCCATGGCCGATTTGACCTCTATCATACCTCCCATAGTCCTGCCGACACACGAATAGCGTGGCCACTCCTCAAAGGGCCCGAGCCAAGCGCGCTGGTGTCACGCATGAGCTGCCAATGGCTGACATCTAAAGATTACACAGGGAGTACCCTTTATCCCGCTTTTAACATCAGGAAATCTGTGATGGCCTTTCGGCTGTTCGTAAAGGCGCGACCTAACAGTCCAATGTCAGGTTTGAATTACCCTTGTTGAAAACGTCACAGCATGAGGAGTCGGTACGGGGGCCCATGGCAGATTACGTGCCTGGCAGCAGCAATTGGGAGGCCCGTAATCTGCCAGCACCCTATGTCAAAAAATTCAAAACACACCAGCAGTGGTGAAGAGACCTGAATGTGGCACATGCAGAGTGTGGCGATGGAAACAGCAGCAATGGGAGGCCTTGGTTCAGGGACCCCATGAGAGACTCTGGACTTGGCAGCAGCATGAGGAGGCGGTATATAGGGGCCCATGGCAGATTAGGGGCCTGGCAGCAGCTATGGGAGGGCCTGTAATCTGCCAGCACCCTATGTCAAAAAATTCAACACAACAGCACGTGTGAAGAGACCTGAATGTGGGCACAGTGTGGCGATGGAGACAGTGCAGCAATGGGAGGCCGTACAGGGACCCATGAGAGTACTCTGGACTTGGCAGCAGCATGAGGAGGCGGTATGGTTCAGGGGCCCATGGCAGATTAGGGGCCTGGCAGCAGCTATGGGGAGGCCGGTGTAATCTGCTAGCACCCTATGTGTCGAAAAAAAATTCAACACACACAGCAGTGTGAAGAGACCTGAATGTGGCACATGGCAGAGTGTGGCGATGGAAACAGCAGCAATGGGAGGCCGTACAGGGACCCATGAGAGACTCTGGACTTGGCAGCAGCATGAGGAGGCGGTATAGGGGCCCAATGGCAGATTAGGGCCTGGCAGCAGCTATGGGAGGCCCGAAATCTGCCAGCACCCTATGTCAAAATAATTCAACACAACAGCAGTGTGAAGAGACATGAAATGTGGCACATGGCAGAGTGTGGCGATGGAAACAGCAGCAATGGGAGGCCGTACAGGGACCCATGAGAGACTCTGGACTTGGCAGCAGCATGAGGAGGCGTGTTATATGGGGCCCATGGCAGATTAGGGGCCTGGCAGCAGTCTATGGGTGGGCCCGTAATCTGCCAGCACCCTATGTCAAAAAATTGAACAACCCCCCCACCCTGAACAGCAGTGTGAAGAGACCTGAAGTGGGCACATGGCAGAGTGTGGCGATGGAGCGACAGCAGCAATGGGGGAGGCCCGTAATCTGCCATCACCCTATGACAAAAAATGGAACACACCAGCAGAGTGTGTGGAGGAGACCTGAAAGTGGCCACATGGCAGGGGCATGATTCATGGCGGATTTTTAGTCAGTTGTGTCAGGAACTGGTGGTTTGAAATCCAGACCTAATCCACGCCTGATTCATTTTCACAAACGTGAGTCTCTCCACACTTTGGGGTCAGGGGGGGGGGGTGTGGACAGTCGTGTCCTCCGCGGAGTTACAATACCTCCTGCCACACTAAACACGCGCTCCGATGCCACGCTACTGGCCGGGCATGACAGCCTTTCAAGGGCAAATTTCAGCTAGTTGGGGCCAAAGGTCAAGTTTCGTTTGCGTTGCCCAGTAGTCAAGGGGATTGTCTACCTCGGTTTGCAGGGTGCTGTCCAAGTAGGCCCAAGCCTGTTGTTTGAGCTCCTGCTCCAGGTCACCTGATGCACCTGATGGCTGCTGCGGCTGCGGCTGGTTAGTAGTTTCCTCACTGCGCTGGGTTGAAGAAAGCTACTCATCATCGACTGCAGACTGAGGCAGCCGCTGCTGGTGGAGCTGCCACTGCTCCTACCACCCCCACCCCTCCCCTGCTGCCATGGCAGCGGAACGCGAGCGCACAGGGCCCACAGTGTCTGAGGATGGACGTTGGCGCACAAAGGCAGAGACCAACTGACTACATAGGTGGTTTTTATAGTATGTAATTTTGGCCTCCCTCTCAGCAGGTGTGAAAAAGGCCACCATTTTGGAACGGTAGCGAGGGTCCAACAAGGTGGACAGCCAAAAGTCATCCCTCTGTCTGATGGTTATTATTTCGGCTGTCGCTACGCAAGCAACCGAGCATGCTATGGGCCTATTTGTGCCAAGGAATGCGAGGGACTCCCTGCCTCCATCTCCACAGCATACTGCCACGGTGCGTCTGGGTCCTCTGTCTCCTCCTCCTCCTCCTCTACCAGATGCTCCTGCTCCTCCACTCCTGTCCGCTGAGTGGAAAAACCACCCATTTCACTCAATAATTCCTGAGCACAAAATGTCCTCCTCTACCTCCTCCTCTTCTTCCTGTCCTGCCCCCACAGGGGTCATGTGGCGTTGAGATCTGTGCGCCAAGTCTACCGCACCCTGACCAGCCCATTGTTAACAGCATTTGTTCCAGGACGTGCAACAGAGGAATGACGTCGTTCATCCCATAGTCCTGCCGACTCACGAATAGCGTGGCCTCCTCAAAAGGGCCTGAGCAAGCGGCAGGTGTCACGCATGAGCTGCCAATGGCTGACATCTAAGTTACACAGGGAGAGTACCTTTATCCGCTTGTAACATCAGGAAATTCGGTGATGGCCTTTCGCTGCTCGTAAAGGCGGTCTAACATGTGTAGGGTTGAATTCCACCTTGTTGCAACGTCGCAGATCAGGCGATGCTGTGGAATTCCGTTCTGCCGCTGCAGCTCAATGAGGGTGTTCTTTGCGGTGTAGGAATGGCTGAAATGCATGCACAGTTTACGTGACATTTTAAGGATGTCTTGCAGTGGGATGGTGGATTTTAGGAACCGCTTGACAACCAGATTGAACACGTGAGCCATGCATGGCGCATGGCACAACCTTCCTTGACGCAGAGCAGACACCATGTTCTTTCCGTTGTCGGTCAACATGGTTCCGATTTTCAGTTTTGCGCGGAGACAGCCATCTGTCGATTTCTCTGTTCATTACACTCAGAAGTTCCTCCCCTGTGTGACTACGTTCGCCAAGGCATACCAGGTGCAGCACAGCGTGACACCGTTGCGCCCTGCACATGTGATATGCCGGTCGGGTAATGGGACTTGGCACGGGGGGGGGCGGGCGGCTGAGGACACGGCGGAAAAAAGAGGTGGTAGAGGCGGACATCTTTGCTGGACCAAGGACGTGCAAACGTGGAGGCAAAAGCGTCGTGACCTGTCCAAGTTGCTGGTGCGGCTGTGCCGGCACCACGTTCACCCAGTGGGCCGTAAATGACATGTACTGTCCCTGACCGTAGTTACAGCTCCACACGTCGGCGCTGCCGTGCACTTTGGCAGAGACCGACATGCTCAAAGACTGGCCCACCATCTCTTCTACATGTGAATGCAGGGCTGGCACTGCCTTTTTGGCGAAGAAATGACGGCTTGGCACTCTCCACCGCGGCGCGGCACAAGCCATCATTTCTCGGAAAGGTGCTGAGTCCACCAGTTGGAAAGGGAGGGACTGCAGCACCAGCAACTTGGACAGGAGGACGTTCAGCTTTTGCACCGTCGGGTGCGTGCTCGCAAACTGTTGTCTCTTGGAAACGGATTCCAAGAAAGACTGTTGACGGAATCCGAGAAGAGGAGTAGCAGGAGAAGGAGCATCTGAACGAGCGGAAGATGCCAACGAGCGACAACTCCCCTCAGCAGAGGTGTTGGAGCCTTGACTGGCTGATAGAGGGCGATTGACGACGTCGGGTGACGGAGAGCAAGTAACGGAGCGGGTGATGGAGCGGGGGGCTGGGGCAGGCAGAACCGCCGTATCTTTATCACGGTTTTCCCAGGCCACCGAATGGTGACGCGCTGCATATGCTGACGCAACGCTGTAGTCCCAAACATGGGCCCCCTGGCCACGCTTGCATTTCTGGCCACATAGTCGACATACGGCTACGTTTACTTCCTCGGGCGGCTTGACGAAAAATTGCCACACCACCGAGTAGGAAACTTTGCCCCCGCTACTACTCCTCACTGGCTGACTGCTACTTCCTCCGTGCGCACCGGCACCACTACTGGCCGTGGTGGTAGGCTGCAGTGGAGCTGGTGCTCTACTCCGTGGACGTTTGGCTCCACTGACACTGATGCGACCCTGCTGCCTCCTGGGCAACCCACCGACTGTTTCGCTCGCTGCCAAGCTGGCACCCTCTTCTCCTGATGATGCGGAAGAAATTGCCTGATGACGACGAGGCTGCCAAGTGCGATCAACCTCCTCATCATCAAGTAGGGTCTCCGCCTCACTACTAGCCCCCTCGGCTGCGTCTGGGTCAGGAGACAGACCTGTCTCTAGACCGGCTACCGAGCCACTCTCCTCGCCAGTACTTCTTCGCCTGGCTGCTGAAAAGGCCGATGTCTCCCCCCGTTCCTCACGACCGCTGGATGACACCGGGAGCACTGGCCTCTGGCTGCGAATAGTGCTGCCTCGACCCCTTCCTCTGCTGCCACGTCTCGCTCGCTCCTAAAACATTGCCTCCTCTGCCACTCCTCTGCATGTTGTCATGACATACTCTTTAATTCAACGATTAGTGTCCTGAGTAA